TTCTTGTATCCAATCTATATCTTCTGATTAGCCGATCTATGATTTTGTTGTTTTTAAGCCGTTGCTCATGCATGTTCTTTAAGTTACTAGCATCTGCCCTTAATTTTTTGATTTTTTGTTCTAAACGGATTTTCCACTTTGGCTTTGGTGCTTTTTCTGTTGTGTGACTAGGTACTTTAATTTTAATGCCTAGTTCATTAGTGACTATTACAGCTGCGCTGTACATTAACTGTATAATTAATTAATTAATTATTATTATTATTATTATTATTATTATATTATTATTATTTAATAAAGAAATAAATGTTGATCAGAAAACAGTCTGCAAAATGCTTTTTCTCTTCTGCACTGTGATACTTTATTGTTCTTTTTTCCTTTGAATAATTAAGTATTAATTATTACTTATAAATCATGCAAATAATACTCTATATTCTTCAGTAAACAATTTGTATTTCAGTTGAGACATGCAGTTTTAGCAATTCATTACTAAAAATGAATTGTAATGAATTAATTAAATGATTTTTATTTCTCTTTTCAGCATGTTAAAAATGTAGCAATCACCCTTCAAAAAAATGACAATCTACAAAATATTTTGTTAGGACAGTACTACAACTTTATTTGCATAAAAGTAAGTATTACAGAAAGTAAATAATAGTTTATGAGGGAAGACCACTTCATAATTTTAAAAATATTTTAGCCACATAATATTACTTAAACATTTTTTCTAAATTTGTACTAACGTATATGTTAACCAAATTTTTACATTCAGAGAAGTGTGGAAATATAGCTTAAATTTGATATGATGCATTTTAGAGTAAAATGTTGTGTTGATCATTTTGAAAATATTTTGAGCTTAATTTTTTTCAAACTTGAAACAAGGCTAATATGAGCTTGAAACATTTTCAAAATGATTGGAAAAACTGAAAAGTCTGTGCACTGGAAATTCTGAATTCAGAATGTTTTGCACAATAGTAGCAGCGAGATATAAAGTTTCAAAATATGCTTTCAGTATCAGAATATGTAATTCATCACATATGGGAAGACATCAAATTTATTAGCAATTTTAGCTTTTTTTTAAAAACATGTTTGCACTTGGCTTACCTGGGCAAATTTATTGTGATCCAAATTATTTGAAGCTTTTAAAATAACTTTCTGAACAAATTGCTCTAAAAAAAAACCTGTTATATCCTCTGTAAGTGATGTGTTCATGATGCTGAAGACATCTCATCCAGACCCATGATTCTAATATGAATGTTTTATTTTTTGACTATACAAATGACCTTAAGAAGATTACATTTTATGTTTCTTTCCAGTTTCTCTGATTCTATGGCTCAGAATGGCCAGAAAATGGGAAAACTAATTTATAAACAGGTTAATAATTTATATTATAGTGATATATGGAAGTCTAGAAAAAACTCCCATAGTTACTTGGGAAAAGAGAGATTTAAATCTTAATAGTACCTTAAATTCATTGTAGGTATGTACTGAATGTACATGAACTGATTCAGCGTGGCAATTTCCCATATTTATAAAAGAAAAGGAACATAATATATTTCAGGTTTCTAAAATGAATCTTATTTCCCTGTTTGTTAGAATAAACTGCCTGGCTTTGATGAAGTCTCACTGCTGGTAGACAAACTTGAAAAGACAGGTGCTTCGGTTTTGTACCCTGTTGTTCTCATTTTGGTAGGTTAAAATTTCTTCAGGTTTCTAAAATATTTTATCAGTCTGGTACAATACATTAATATTTTGTTTTTCATAATTGTTGTGACTTTGGTAACAAGTAAGAGATCTTGTAAAAAGGAAACCAAAATTATTCAACTAGTTACTTGGTTTTTTAATTTATTACTCTTCGAGAAGAGGGTTTTTTATTTTGTTGGATATTTTATTTGATTTCTTATTCCATACAAAAAGCAATAGTTTAAAATTCAGATGGACAATATATAAAAGAATTGATAAGATATAGGATTCAGTCATGCATGTTTGTTTAGAAATAGACTAGTCTTTGCATTTATTTCCTGGTTAGCATGCTAACAATTGCAAGCAAAATGTACATAATATTTCTGAGAAAAAATATTTTGTCAACTGTTAAATAGCAATCACCTTTTCCCTTGTATCTATAGAAAATATAAACATTTCTGATAATAAATAATTTGTGATGTGTCTTTCCTTTGCAGATAAACATGAGTATTTTAGAAAATACACCTTTTAACAGTGGAATTGAAAGTTTTACTATACTTGCCAAGGAAGTTAAAAAGAAAAATATTTTACTTTATGGTCTCTTTATGCAGTATAAAAAGGTATGTGTTACAATGAGTGGGGAAAAAATCTGTATCAGTTTTTTGTAACATATAAAAGTAGTTCTTGGGTTATGATAGCAATTGGGACTGGAATTTCCATTGCTAAACAATGCAATTGTAAAGCAAGACATCGCATGATTATATCATTTAGCAACAGCAGTCCTGGCAGTGGTTACTATCATAAACCCAAGTCCATGTGGGTCATTAAGTGGGCATCACATAAAGGCAGTGTGTAAAGAGTTTGAGTTTGCAATCTTACAGAGGAGAGCTGTGAGCTGATGCTAGGGAGTGTGTGTGTGGTGGTGGTGGGGGAGGGTGATAACAGATTCCAAGGCATATTTTGAGAATGTGCCCAGAACTTCACCCATACTTCCTACCAGTTGAAGCTTAAGCTTTTCTGCCTGTGATTGAGGTGGCAAGTAGTCATTCATAGAAATAAAAAAGGAAGAAAAGAATAAGAAATACTAAAGTCCTAGAGATATTATAGGAGAGAAGCAGGCAATGGAGAATTAGAAGAAACAGGAAGTGAAAGTCTGATGTGTGATGGTGAGAAAAAATTAACAAGTAGAAACCTTGGAAGGCCTGGTAGTAGAGGTCTCAGGTAGCCCAGAAGCTTGACTTTAGTAGCAGTCATATTAGCCAACACAATATTTTCAACCAGGCTGGTACCACCTCACAACCAAACCTGTGATATACAAATTTATCATTCCATATTGTAGTTAAAAGGAGGATTATTCTAAGCATAAAATACTTGGAATCATTCGAAAACAAGAATCCTTGTGTTAATAAAAATGTTACAAGTATAGCTTACATTCTTTGTGTCCTTGAAAATAAGACAGCGCTTGGGCTTATTTTCGGGAAGGTTTGATGATTTTTCAGGTGCAAGAGGTACCAAATATGCTGTGCTGCAATATTTTCAGGGAGGGCTTATTTTCAGGGAAGGGCTTATTTTAGCGCATGCACTTAAAAGTCTGATTAGGCTAATTATCTGGGAGGGCTCTTTTCAGGTAAACAGGGTAGAATAAATGTTATTGGTGTGATATGTCCGGGATCATCAGTCTTTTGAAAAATAAACCTATATAGTTTATAGGTTTGGCTATGATTTGTGGTTATTGAGAAATAAAGTATTACCTTACTGTATTAACTTAATTGAAAAAATGGTTTACCTGCATTGAACTGTATAAAATGCATACTACTTCATCACTACCTTCGATAAAATATAATTGTGAGCAAGTAAATCAGATAACAGTGCATTGCTGAATTATGTACAAGAATGCTAAAAGCTATATGTGGAATTTGGGGGAGGGGAGAATTATACTACCTTTCTGGTAAAAATCTCAACCAAAATGCAATTGCTCAAATATTTTGACCGTCAGTAAGTTTTCCTTTACAAACCCTCAAGCATAAATATCACATGTCTTCATCAGTCAACAGTGATTTTATTAATATAATTACAGTAACAGGTAATAGATCTTCACTTTGTCCTAATTTATAATTATAAATTTATTGCCCAAGTTCTAACACTTTATATTGACATTAGACATTCATTTACCTGCTCATGCATGCATCCTGACAATGCTGATGTTCAAAGCATTTTTCAGTGAACAAGAATAAAGTAAAACATATTTAAAAATATATACTTGATATATAAATAGTAGTCATCTTCTTTTCCAGAAAGGACAAATTCCCAATAGAAGTTTGAAGTTCATATAAATTCTAAGCAACCTTCCCAAGAAATAAATCCCAATGAATTCCACTAATTTCCTCAGAGCACAATACTTGGCTGTACCTATTGTACCTATTTTTATGACTGCTCATACCTGTGTTCAAGAATGATATTTATTTCCTTTTCCCCAAATAGAATATGTTACTCTACAGTAGAATATAATATTAATATATACATATCTACATACAGATAGAGGCAGATGCAATGTAATATGCAATGCAAAATAAAGCCAATGAAGTGTTGTGTGGAAAAAAAAATTATGTATGTTTGGAAAGCCTTCCGCAAAGATATGATATATTTGGTGCCTGCCAAATATATCAAGAACAATTACTGATAGAAGAGACTAGACAGTGATGTGTCTGAAATGTTATAGGTATCCTGCTTCAGCAGGGTATAGAAAACCTCCAAGGTCCCTTCTAACTTCTATTATTCAGAATTCCTAATTAAAATCTGTAAAAGTCATCTCTGGTAATAGAAGTAGAAATAGTGGGAAAGCCATTTATAATTCTGTTGATATACAATATTTACAAAATTTGTATCTTCTTTCATGAAATTCTCCTGGTCTCCAAACTTGTATTTGGTGGAAGAAAAATTATGGCGCCGTATATTAGTTTTCTGTTTTAATTTGTAAGGCAAGTTATTCTTTTTAGCTAAATCATGAAGCTTAGTTAATTTTAATGATGAAATCTTGACATAAACCAACACTCCTTCACAAAGCAATTTTGAAAAGTATTTATTATTTTTTTTCATTGCAATTAAAATAACCAATTACTAAACAAAGCAAAGAAATAAATTAAAAGAGAAATTTGGAAAATGCTTTTGGCAGTTGGAAGAACAGTGTATAAAAGCAGGAAGTTATAGTTGAATAGCTATTTTGCTTAGGAATAAAATGTTTGCTAAAGAATTGAATAATTAGCAATTTTGAAGAAAAACTCCATAAGCATGCCATTATTTAATTTAGAAAGAGTGCATGTTTATTTGGCAGAAATATCACTGTTCAATAAAAAGTATCTTGTCATTAAAGCCTTTCTTGGCTTTGTTTTAAAGGGTGGTTTTTTTTTAGTTTGTTTAGTGTAATTTCCTTTTGTGTATTCATCAAAACCAATATTCTTTAGGACTTTGGCAATGCTGAATAGTAGTATAAATATAAACAAGATATGTCAGTACATAATATTAAAAGCCAAAATTATTTTCTATTTCCAGCTTCTTCTATTAATGGTTCTTTCCACAAATATCCATATATACTTCATGCTTTTGCATTACTAATTTTTCTTAAATCAAGTTGTTTCTTATATGTCTGTTGAGGCTTGAAGCTCAAGTGGTCACCAAATGAAGATGCAAAATATAATTGCTATCAAAAAGCAAAGAATTATGTTGTCCTACTTCTGTCACCCTATATGCAATGCAACATTGCCGTCTACACTTTATACATGTTATACATATACTCTACACATTTGGTGGTCTCTCCTTTCTGGATAGCACTAGTAAGGTTTTAAAAAAAGGTGATTTTATTTGTTCGCTTGCTGTTTTTTTTAGAATTATTAATACTGTTCAAAAAATAAATATTTGTTCTGTTTAGGTGTTCAGGAAAAAATAATATGTATGGATTATAAGGATTATAACATGTGAAATCACATTTCTAGAATATTTTAAGGGTAATAGTTCATCCTCATGGTTCCAAGGAAAGGCTTAAATGGTTAATTTTGAACAAATCCATGAAAAATAGTGCTTTTGAAATTTGAGATTCTTGCATTCCACCAGATATTCCCGGGTTTGTGAAAAGAAGGTTAGGGTCTGATAATATGTGTACTTCAATCTTTAAATTGTAAAAAGATTCTTCTTGAAATAATGCTTCCATGCATATTTTTTTACCAAGCAAGCAGAGGATAATAGCTATGGCATATAAAATGTAGAGTTTACATTGTTCCATATATTTCAGTACCTGATGCAGTATTTACATGGATGGAAATAATTGATGAATAGTTCAATAGCATCCAATTACTGAACATAAAGAGTTTGTAATTACTAAAACCTTCCTTCCTTGTTCAGGTTTTGGTAATGAGTAACAATATTTCATATCATCTATAAGCTGGAATATAAAATGCCAGCAATAACTGCAGAAAGAATCAACTGTTGGATGATCCTGTGAAATATTTAACATGTTAAGAACAAATTATTTTTGGCATGCTTCCTATTCTGATATATTTGATAATTTATTGTATATAAATTTATTCACTACAAATGAAAAAAAATCCAGAATAATTAGAAAAATGTAGTTATAGGTTGTGAATTGAATTTGGATTTCAGAAGCAATTATGTCTACATCAATCTAAGAACATTCAAAATGCAGAACTGAAATACTGAACTAGGGACTTGTTTTCAAACATTGCTGTTGTGAAGGAAATTTTATATTAAAATTCTAGATATGTATCTCATTCTTGAAAACTTTTCCTTTTCTTTCAGGAAAGTCTAAAGCTTCAAGAGACCATGGATTCAGCAGCTGCACTTATTACTGTATTAATAAGAGAACGAAATCCTGCATTTGTTGGTCAGCTTCTAGTAGCATGAAAAAATAATATTTTTAGTTATTTGTGTTTGAAAGTACATATGTTTTTAACAATTAAAAACTAGGGTTTGTCACTAATATATTTAGCATGAAATACAAATATTTTAAATAAAATATATTTATAATAAATACAGAAGATTCAGTTGCACATTGCCTCAAGTGCCTTGAGCAGAGAGGAAGGTAGGAAATAGGCTAAATAAAATACTTCTAGGAAGAGATAAGTAAAAAGTGAATGTTTCAAATTTATATGATAATAATGAGCTGGTAAACCGAAAAATGTTTTAAGTCTGGTTCTGTTGAACTATAAACTAAGGAACCTATCAGTAGTTATTTATTAAAATGTGTATGACTATTATTTTAGAGAAATACTGTATAGTTGTATGCTCATAGTTTTGCTCTTTTGTGTAAGTAGGAAAAAGGGGGAGGAAAAGTCTGTGAAAAATATAAGTGTTACAATATATATATTTGCTTTATGTAGCCCCTGTAGTAGATTTCATCTTAAACATATAATGGAGATAGATCAGCATTCCCAAAATATTTTCCCTCAGATGTCCTGGATTTCAGTTTCCATAATATCTAAACTGCTGAAAAATTTAAAAATTGGAGAAGACTGAATTGAATGTGGTGAAACACAATAGTAAAATGAATTATATGGGAAAATTAAAACAAAGTGTTCCAAATTACACTTAAGAAACAAGTTATTATATCCTAATAACTACAGAATAGGATTAAACACAATTCCATTAACTCCAAATGAAATTCTGACTCTTTTAGGGAAAATAAAAGTATTGCCACTACTACAGGTTTGCTCATCTCCTGAGCTGAAAATAAAAGACTAATAAAAGACTGACTCAAGTAACTGTAAACTAGCTTTACACATTACACTACACTAAGTTTTTTGTTTGATTTTGGCCTAGTAAGTTGTATCAGCCCAGCTGTTAGGGTTTGTTGTTCATTGTCGTGGGCTTGATGTTGCACATGAATGCATCATCTTTGCATTGTCAAATATTGTGAACAGATAGCTTATATCTCTACTGGTATGTGAGAAAGAGAAATAGGATGAAAAAAATGCTCCCTAGGAAATGGTAAAATAAGCTGCACAGCCAATGGGCAGAGAAAGAGACTCAGAAGGGTCTCTTTCTTTCCTTAACAGGCTGTTAAGGAGACAGTGGGATATTTGCACTTTCAAAGTTGCAACACTCTGTTAATGTAGCCTTACAGTAAAGTAGAATTGGCTCATATCTATATTTTTCCTGTCTGGTTTACTTGGGAAGGCTGACAGTATCCTAGGTATTCTCTTGTTTCCGAAGAGAAGGAGTGGGAGGAGTAACACGTGGGTATTACCAAAGCCTTCTTGCCTATTGGAGACTGAGGTATTAATCTTTTGGAGCCACACCTCCGTACCTCCTCCTACTCTCTCAGATTGCCTCAGTCTGAAGCCTGAAAAGGAGTGTTTTTCCTTCTCTCCCTTCTCTGCGAAGACTTAGAGTTTTTCCCCCTCATATTTGGATCAGCGATCTCTAGCTACAAAGGATTCCGACAAAGACCTTGCCTTTCTCCTCTCCTCTCCTCCGCTGTGCTCCGCACCGCTGGAAAAGCCTCGTTGCAAACCAGTGTGTGCGCATGCGCCCCGTGCGACCAGCTGGTCGCA